TGAGGCCCAGAGACAAAATAATATGGACTCTATATAAATAATATCACTCATAAAAACTCATCTGAAAATAGCATTGAATTAGAGTAGAGTATAGACTACAACTTGTAGATAGTATGTCAACTTATTGGACATTATAATGGCGCGAAAAATTGCATATCGTACAAGATCTTTTTGTAAACGACTAACGAAGCTAAGTGTTCCCAGACCGAAACATTTGCATTAGTCTAAATACGGACACGGATCGAAGCTGATGGTGTCTGAACGGTGATTCTTTGTACAACAAAAATTAACACATGTTAACAAGATGGTCAAACCTTTAATGGTTGGAGGACTAAATACTGTTTGATATTTTTATGTCTCCAGTATTGATTACTTCTCATTTGCTTTTTAGTTCGTTTACTCTAGAGTCTGAAAACTCTAAATTACAWTGACCTCAGGCAACTCCATTCCATGACATAGGTAAGGTTGGTTAAATTTCATATGTGTCTACAATAAGGCTAGCATTATGGTATGGCTTAGTGATAGTCTATCCTTGTTTTTGGTGTTCACCTTTCTCTGGCATGCTAAATTTTTACATGCATTTTCACAATTTCCAGGAAGGGAAGGACATGGAAGATGATACCAAAGGAAAGACAACAAAGCCTCAAGAGGGTGACGAGGCTCCAAATAAACGAGAGGAAAATGAGATGAGTGCATATTTGCAGTCTGCAAGAGATTCCATCAACAACTTGCAATACGACAAAGCATTGCATTATGGCCAGAARTGCATTCAAATGGCAAAAGAAKCGAACGACAAGAAGACAGAGATGGRTGGATACTTTGAAACTGCACGAGCTTCAAATTCATTAAATCAACACGAAAACACGTTAACGTTTTGCAAGGACGGAATTGCCGCTGCAAAGGAAATTAAAGACAAGCAAGTTGAGATAGAATTGTCAATACTCCTATGCAATGCACACTTGGAATTAAAACAATATAATGAAGGSATTGACATTGCCAAAGATGTAGTTAACATGGCGCAGGAACTTGGTAATAATGACMATGCTGAAATGACAGCCTGCTTAGGAATTGCCCAAGCATATAAAATGATGAAACGCTTTCGTGATGCAATCCAATATGGCAAAAGGGGTCTTGGCTTAGCAAAGAAAATTGGTGACATAAACAACGAGCTAAACGCCAGCATATTAGTTGGGCTGGTGTACGTCTATCTGCGTCAACATCTGGACTCAATTRTGCACTACACTCGTGCYCTTGAAATAGTCAAAGAATCTGGTAATCAATATTTGGAAATGAACATTTCAATAGGACTCTGTTCGTCTTATCTTCAAGTCCATCAATATGAAAAATCGATTGAGCATGGCAAGAGAGGTTTGGTGCTGGTCAAAGAAACTGGCAGCACAATCAAGGAAATGAGAGCAAGTCGAGAGCTCGGACTAGCGTATTATTCCCTCGATCAATATGACAGCGCCATTGAGCATTCGAAGAGAAGTCTTGAACTAGCCAAGGAAAACGGTGACCAATGGCATGAAATGGATGCATTTCTTGCTCTCGGAAAGATATATTACAAGCAGGAAAAATATGCTGATGCCATCGATAATTGCAAGAGCTGCCTTGAATTAGCCATCACCGCAAACAACCGAGATATGGAGGAAGACGGATCTTTTACACTGGGAAAGTCATATGTCTCTTTAAAACAATATGCTGAAAGCATTCCATGTTTCAGAAGGAGCCTTGAATTGGCTCGGATACTTGGAGGACAAGACGAAGAGCTAGCGTCATCCTTTAAACTCGGACAGTCACTAGACAGGCTAAAACAACACAATGAAAGTATTGAGCATTTCAAGAGATCTCTTGAAATCGCGACAAAAATGGGCGACAAAAATCAAGAAATTATAGTTTTGCTGGCCCTTGAGAAGTCACACGAGTCATTGGGAGAGTACAATGAAAGCATTGCCTATTCCCAAAGATGTCTCAAGATAGCACAACAAATAGGTGATAAAGAAAATGAAATGGAAGCATATTATGAACTGGGACATACTTATGAATTGATGARGAAATTTTCTCAATGTATTGAGTGCTACACGAAATCCAAAAAAATTGCAGTCGAAATTGGAAACTCAACATGGGTCTGGACTAATTCCTTGGCATTCCGTTGTCTATCTCATTTGCTGCGTCAGCCTGAAAATATTATTGCTTATAATAAAGAATGCCTGGAAACAGCCAAAGAAAAWGGTGACAGACAAGGTGAACTAACGTCCTATGCAAAGATTACACATGCGTACCATTCACTGAAACAATTTCCAAGTGCGATTGAGTTTGGTCTTAAAATGATTGAACTAGCCAAGGACATTGGTAACAAGGACAGCGAAAAAGATGCATATTTCGCACTTGGCAGTTCATATTTATCATTAAATGAATACCGAGAAGCTACTGTCATTGGCGAGAGTTTGCTTGAATATTCCAAGGAAACTGGTGACAAACGAAGTGAGTCATTTGCACTTTGCTTACTTGCAAAGGCMTATCAGTCACTTGAACAATACAACGATGCTTTTTTGAATTGGAAAAAATCTTTCGAATTAGCCAAAGAAATGGGTGAACAGAAAGAGCAAATAGTTGCCTCTTTGGCTCTGGGGGAGATCAGCGTTTCTCTGAAGAAATACGAGGATGCTGAATACTACCAAAAGATTTCCCTCGGCATAGCTAAATCATCTGGTGACCAGGAAGCTGAGATCAGGGCTTGTRTAGCMCTAGCAAATACCTATGAAATGGTAMATCAGTACGCGGATGCTATTGAATATGGTAGTAGATGCCTTAAGATATCTCAAGAAACATCCAACAGTGTAGGAGAAACACTAGCATATCTATCCCTTTCTTCTACGTACCACTCAATGCAGCAATACAAAAATGCTATCTCACATGGWCTTAAAGGTCTTGAAATAGCAGAGAAAACTGGAGAAAAAACTGGAGAGGCATCTTCGTGCTTGATTCTCAGTGAAACTTACTACGCGATGAAACAATATCAGGAGGCCGTCACGTATGGCAAGCGCTGCCTTGACATAACACAATCGACTGGAGATAAACTACGTGAAAGGAAAGCTTTATCACGATTAGGAATCATATTTTATGAATTGAAGCAATATGAGAATGCTATTCTTCATCAAAAGAAGTCTCTTGAGATTRCAMAGGAGACCAATGACGTTGAAAACGARRTCTGGGCGTGCTATCATCTAGGACTAAATTTCCACTCGCTTCTTCAGAAGGAGAGTGCTAAGGTACATTTTAAACAAGCCATTGAGGCATCATTAGAAGCAAGAAATAAAGGTGGRGAGMTCMTGTCCTRTTTATCACTCGGCGACGTCTATARATCAAAYGATGAACTTTCTCAGTSTATYTCWTATTACAACAGAGCCCTACAGATATCGGAGCAAATATSTCACAAGACATGCGAAATGATGATCTGTTTAYRTCTTGAAATGGCCCACGACGAATCWCAGCAGTAYYAMAAGKCTGTTACTTAYGGWAAAAGATGTTTGAAGACTGCAAYGGAAACTGGCAACAAGTAYCTTGAGCTCTTGGCCTGTTTGGGGCTTGGGAAKACATACAACTCATTAAATCAATATGCAGATGCTATTGAAGTCAGCAACCAAGCCCTTGAACTAGCTAAAAAGACAAACAGTCGACAYAGTGAACCAGCTGCCTATGGAGCACTTGGAAAAGCTTACAAGGSGTTAGGCCAGCATGCTCAATCCATTGTGTYTTATAACAAAGGTYTTCAGGCAGCTAAAAAGATCGGTGACAGAGGAAATGAAAGAGAAACTGGAAGACAGGTCAGAGAACTCTATTACAGTTCCAGTAAATATGACGATGCTCTGTTGCACGATGACATGTGTCTGGAAAGAGCAAAGGAGGAAGATGACATTGGTGGTAAATTACAGACGTTCGTCTCCCCTAAAAGTGCGTTCATATCAAGAGATCACAATGCAAGTTTTATACATTGGATAAAATCAGTCATGAACAAAGTCGAAGGATGTACTTTCAAGGATTTTCAAGTGTATCTCGAGCTAACGTTCCTACAAGCTTTCGATGACCTTAGATGGAAGAATTTGAAGTCGACTGCTTCAACTAAAGACGACGTTGTTTCACAGGCAGTCGATCAGGAACCCTCTGACTCAGATCCAGCTACCAAAATTCAAGTCCTTAGAAGGCAATCCGCAGACTATGAACTTCGAGGTCTCCATGACAAGGCAATGGAATGCCTTCATCAGATCATAAGTATTGACATTGAAGGATGCGAGGAAGTAAAAAATGCTTACTGTCATTCTCAAATTGCTCGAATTTACAAATTGCGACAGAACAACGAGAAAGCTTTTGAGCATTTCCAGCTTGCCCTCTCTTATGCGCAACAGTGTTCTTTCAAGTTCCTATCATTTCACTGTCTTGAATCTCTGGGCTCACTGCATTTCAAGAGAGGAGATCTAAAAAAGGCAATAGAAATCCTTGAAGAAGGTGTACAGGAGGCAGAAATCTTGCTAAAACAGCTGCAGCTTTACCAAGATGACATGACAAGCTTCGTTAAAGATGGGAAAAAGATCGGCATTTTCGATTCGTTGGCAAGTTGCCACAGAATGCTSTCAGAAGCTCTCATYGGGACAGAAAAGTACGACGACGCGCTAATGCAGCTTGAGAATTGCCGAGGAAAAGTGCTGGTGGAAAGTCTAATGGAGTCATATGGCATGAAGCAGAAGGGTGGTGCTGGCARCGAAAAGCAGTTCAAGAAGTSTGAYATGGAGGCATTTCTCTCTAATAACAAAAACACTATTTTGTTTTACTTCGTCGGAAATGACGGTCTGCATTCATTCATTTGCGAGGACAACACACTACGCCTTTCCTCTCAGAATCTTRAAAACTGCACAAATGGTTTTGAACAATTTTCAAAGGACTTATTCAATGCCATTGGTGTACGTGGGATTGCTGATTGCGAGAACAGGTGTTTGGACGACATGCTTTAAATCATGAAATAGTTAAAAGRGATGCATGGAAATARTTAAAATGGATGCATAACGGTATTAATATYGAGCACAAAACGTAACGTGTGCGCTGCAATTAGAMAGTTAGCGAATTTAGTTCTTTATTCAATTTTCTGTACTTTTTTGTRATTTTTTTATTGACAGGCAGACTTATATAACATTTATGTCTTGCATTATTCCAATTATTTTTATTGAAACATTAACAAATAATTAACTGATTAACTGAAAATTSATAAATTTTCTATAAAGAACTATTGAAAAATGTATGCTAACAAGTGACATTGTTTAGTACGTAATAACTATCATTGCTATATATTCTGTAAAATAGGTAAAATAGATGAAAAAATCGAAAATCCAACTGTATATATGTACAAATGTTAGGCTAATTGTTTGATAGATAATACTGATGCGAGAATACATTGTATTAGCCAATCGTTCATGCCTGTATTGCTTGATAACTCAGAAAGTATCATTAGTTACGTATAGTTTCACCTTCTGTTGTTACGCCTTGTCCATTTACCGTCATTGCGAGGCGTCTCTTGTCTTCTTGAAGTCGCACTCCGCTGTGTATTATTTTGGCTGTTTCCTGAGCGGTGAGTCGGAACGTTTCTCGTCTGGCGACTATTACCAGATGTTCCGCGCCCTCTTGCAGGACCTCTACCATTGTAATGCGAATTCCTGTGCCTGTTCTGCTCGTGCTGATTTTCACCTCCAATTGCAGATTGACTAGTGGGAGATGTCGATAGTGAGCTCAAATCCAGCTTTGGAGCCCTGTCGAGCCACCTTTTCCATAGATCTGACTTACTAAGAGTCCTCAAGCTCCCAACAACAATGAGGCCACGTTTTGCTCGAGTGAGCATTACATTCATTCTGTTAGGACTATCTGTAAATCCAAGTGACCCATAATCGTTTGATCTTACGGTACTGACAATGATAACCTCTTTCTCTCGACCTTGAAAGCCATCAATTGATCGGACTTCAACTTTAGGCTTTATCTGAGTGCTAAGTAGCCCAGCTTGACCTTGGTAATAAGTTAATATCCCAATGTCCATGATGGAGAGGCGTTGATCTCGATTGTCTTCTGACACGTTCAGAAGTTTATCAACCACTTTCTSAACYACTGTTATCTCCTGTTTATTGCAGAAAGATGTTCCAAGCTTTTCTTCTCTGTTATGTGGTACATCAATAAAGCACAGGGGCTTGTCCTTCTCAGGCCAAGGGAAAATTGGAGGAAGTCGACTTTCTGCTGAGATGCCAGACTTTAGTCTACCTTCATAGAACTCCTCTGATGGGAACTTTACAAGCTCTGGATGCATTCTGTGCTGTGTCTCTAGCAGTATACATGGCATGGTGTTGTTCAGCCTGTGAAAAAGGGTCTCTGAGAGTGATGCAACATCGGGAAGATTATGTAATAATGGATCRGGTCTATCACAAGTAATGGTCGGACCGAGTTGTTTTGGGTCTCCAATCATAACAAGCTGCTTTGCACCGTGCATCAGACTGCACAGTAAAGTCGTTTCTTTAGTYTGGGTAGCTTCATCTACCAGCACAAARTCAAACGAAWATGGCTCAAGCACCAAGTCCCCAGCACCGGCACATGTTGTCAGGATAACAGATGCATTTTTGAAGATCCTTTTAACAGTGTTTTTCTTTYTGTGAACCATCCCTTGATCGTCACGATAAGAWGTTCGTGCACCTTCAGTCTCYTCGAGCCTCATTAATTGTCCTTCCAGAGACAAATCATAAACGTCTTTGTCAACTCCTTCGTCTGTGCCAATTCTTAAGATCTCAAGTGGAAGATCGTTTCTTAAGCTTTTCACAATGTTGTCTACGGCTATGTTTGTCTCACTTACAACGAGTAGCTTGCTCTCATGATTTGGCGTTTGTTTCATTTTCTTGATGATTTCACAAGCCACTGTTGTTTTTCCAGTACCAGGAGGGCCTTGTATGAGGGTTACAGTATTCGAAAGAGCTTTACCMACAGATTCCTTTTGCTCRGGATTCAGCTTATCTGTGCCCTTTGCTTCATCAGGGAGACTCATGCATACCATTGGCGAATAGGACTGACTGGGATCTGTAACTATCTCAAGTAGGGGCGGAAGAGGTTCTTTCAATGCTGAAAGCTTCTTCAGTGCATCTACAACCCTGGTGAAAGTTGTGATATTTGCAATAAGATCTATTTTCCAYAGGCGAGGTTTGGACAAACTTTTTTTCARGGCTAAAGGAGCTTCTCCAAGTATCTTAACAGTGATCGTAAGTGGAGCAGTTCTTAATTCCTTCACCTGTGCGAGGCAGCAGCAAGACTCATGGCTTGGATTTYTCTTATAATCGGCCTGTCTGGTWATAGTGACATACTGCCCTTGAGTCATTTTAAGACGTTGGACAAGTGCAGCTGGGCGAGTAAAAGACACGTTTTCCCATTTTTCATCCAAAGGGTCTTGCATCGTAAGATTTGATATRCTCAGCTCAGGTTTGGCTACTTTCATTCTATCTTGAACATTTTTCATGTCTAGCAGAAGATCTTGTAGATGGAGCTGTCCCATGTTCAGCACATACTCGACGACTTTTAAYGGTGTTTYAGATGAATGYCTCGAGGCTGCTTGCGCAGMACTTTGAATGATTTGCTTAGCAAYGTCATGTTTTATAAACCACCATGTTTGCCATTCACCAATCACGTCAAGAAACAGAGTGATATCTAGTGTGCATTTCACATAGTTCTCGGCTATGAGGCTGACAGCTAGTAGTTCTAGATGCAATCTCAAAAGCAATCCTGCAACCTTGAATATCTTTGAAGGATCCTGAAAACTCTGCACCAGTAAAACATTTCCAATTGCTTCAACAACGTCYCGAGGAAATTCCTSTCTCAGGGGTGCTGTCACGAACACTATCTTCTCCACAAGATTAACTGCCAAGTCTGAAACAAAGTCTGGTAGCGTGCTATCGTGATTYTGCAACCAGTTGGTGAGCATTCTTTCAAAAAGCATAAGTTGACAATTGCAAGCTGATATTGTACCACGAAGAGCAGCTTTGAGGTTAGCTTCTGTTTCAATCTGACGGCAATCGATATCTCCATCGTAGAAAAAAGACAAGTCATTGTCATCACTGTCATCCTCTTCTTCTTCTTCAAGATCTTCCGCCTCAAGTACGGACTCGACATCATTGCATATCGCTGTATCAAAGTATGGAACACWGCCCCCAGTGAGTTCGACAAATACCTCGATCTTTATAAAAGGAATCTTGTTAATCAATGGATGACGTCTTGGACCGTTAAGAATCTTTCGGTCAAAACTCAAGAGATCCACACTAATAGGAACTTTAATTTCATYATCAATTCCAGCAGACCTCGGCCCTTTAGAAAAGTCAGACGCTTTAAGGCATACAAACGTTTTGCTCTTCTCCAAGCGGTAGAGCTGTAGGACATCATGTGTCAATTCCAACCTATAATTGCTTCCAAGGATGTATCTTCGACGATAGTCGAAATTAGAAGAAYAGAAGTAACCCGAGATAGTCCCAGACTCCACTTGTTGGTCTTTACCAATGTTACATCGTGTGAAGAACTGTAAGGCTACAGTAACTTGGTCAGGGAGTTGAAGAACAAGAAGAGAYCGATCATGTTGGGTGAGTGCTTTYAGTAGATATCCCCATTGAAAGGTTTCATGGTCTTCACGAAAGTAGAACTTCCAAGTATTTCCAGGAACATCCATGTTGAATTCTTTGATGTCATCCTTTGCAAGAAGTTGAGACTTATTCAATGCATTAGCAATGACRGCAGCGGGAATGCCGAGGCCAACAGCCTCGCGTTTTTGCTCTATTGTGAACAGAGCAAAGTTGATAAAGTCGGCGTATTTCGTGATAATGATATGAGCAACATCTTCGGCACTGTCACAGTGACTTTCAATGAAAGTCCAAGCAAACTGGAACTTCGCAAACTCACTGATATTTGACATCTCTTGAGTTAATAYGGATTCCACAAAATCTTCATGGACATCCGACGCGTTCGGGAATCCTGGCTCTTTGTTCAAAACACTCCTGTTGAATTCAACTTTAAATTGTTCYGCATTTTCCTCGAGTTGTTGCCAGACGAATTTCTCTTGAGAATTTAAATCGTCTGGTGGAATTGGCAAAACTTTGGAATTGAATTTCTCTCCTGACTTCGCAGAGTCTATGACCCTTGAAAATAGCATTCCCAATCTTTGACATTCGTCGGATGATACACCTTTTGCATCGGCCCACTGTCTAAAGCATTTATCCACCTTACTTGTCAATTTCTGTGTTTCATTTTGGACCGAAAAATATTTCAGGGTCTTCTCAATTGTGGCGGGTCCTTGTGGCTTTACGTTTGCTCCTGGATAAGGATAAGGTGGCTTCGTAGTTGTTGGAATTAGATCACTTTCCCATGAAACAAAGAACATATCTCCATCTAGATCAGAACCAGCAATTTCATCCGGATGTGGCCTCTTACCACGAACAGGAAACACGATRCAGTCGACTAGATGATTCAATTGCTTYACTTCTGGTCTATCTGTGTCATCCACGGCGCGTAGAACTCTTACATCACCAAGCAGGTAGCAGGGATTTTTGCAAACTACTACTAAACCCTTTATASTTTTTGGACTTTGGACATTGCCATCGGTGATGCGAAGAAAGCACTCTCCATATTCCAATGCGCCTGATGGATCACAAACTCCATAGAKGTTTCGCGACTTTGGAATCAAGATACGCAGYCTTYCGGATTCGGAGACTAGTTTTGACTGAAGTGAGCGGATAGACTTATGTATTCGTTGCATACTTTCATCATCTRWGCTTGATTGGCTGCTGACCTGTCTTAACAAACGCTGAGCTAYTTCAAACTTATTTTGCCACTGGAGAGCTTTGATAGCATATTCTGGCTCTACAGTCATATTCTTGATCATCTCAAAGTGTTGTTTTTGTTTGTCCAAAATGACAGTRTCAGAGACGCCCAGTGCGGATAGAAGCATTATGTACTGTCTATTCAGATGTCCAAAGGTGAATGGTTTAGAGTAACCACATACTCCAATACGATCATGAACTGTGGTGACAAATTTCCTCATGGATGGTCTTACTTTGATAGACTTTCCTTCTAAGTTTAGATCCAATGCCAAAACCCCTTTATATCCCTGGTATCTGATCTGGAAAACAGCAGGGGTGCAGCTTTCTGATTGTGATGGGCTGCCTATCTCTTCAAATAAAGCAGTGGCTAGTTCCTTGCTTAATCCTCCACATCCATCAGTAAAACACTTGCCATCTTCGGTAAACAAATCTTGTTCTTCCACTACATCTTCCGCTTTAACAGAAATACTTGTGAGATTAATGGCAGAAAATAAGAGGGAGATCCTTGCCATTCGTTTGGAAACAGACATGTTTTCAAATTCACCGTTCTCTTTAATTATTTTGTCAGCTTCTTTTTGAGGGCCTTTCCACATAAAACAAATCCTTTTCTTGAGACCGCTGGAGCTGCATCCAAGAAAGGAATAAATTTCTCCGTTGATAGTGATACCACAAAGTAACATTTTATGTACTACTGTAGATCTWACGTTGATGTCAAACGCTAGAATGGCAAGCTTGTCCGCACCRTGCTTCGCAATGAAACGATTGCATTCACCCGGTTCCCATGTCTTCCATTCTTGAACGTACCTATGCTCAAASATCTTAATTGAAGGGATATTCAGGCAGTCTTTCCGACTGGGTGAAGGTAGGAAAAACGATAAATCCGTGGTCACGTACTCTGGTTGAGCGTTTTTTCCATAATTCAGAAGACTTGATGTCTGGAGAGGTATTTCACCCTGCAAAGCTTTGTGAATGGTTTCCGAGCAGTTATCAGCATTTGAACAGTTCAAAAACAGGAAAGGAACGCGGAAGTTATGTAATAATGTTTTGTAATGCTTTAGAGTCTTTTCCTCCTCCTTTAGGCTGTCGTCTCCAACTTGTAGGGACGATGATAAAAGAACTACCAGGGACTTCCCATACAACGACAATGATTGCTGAAACTGAGGACATTTTGACAGTAGAGTGTCATAATCTTCAAGATGCACTAACGAGTCGATAATGGTGCGATCGGATAATATTGTCACGCCGCTGTCACTGTACAACTTCTCCTGTCTCGATTGCTCTTCGATAATCCTTTTCTGAACATCAACATCGTGTTCCAAAGCATCTAGTCCTACAGCTACTTGTAGGTTTCTCAAGATTGTTTGAGAAATACCTTGGATTTYCTTTGCGTCTTTTAGACATCGTGTCTCAGCCAATTGTCTGAAAACCTGACTTTTTCCAGAACCRTCAATACCAGAAAGAAAAACAGAAACCATGGTAAATCTGAAATGATATTACTCATGGATAAGACCCCCATCGAACCTAAACCCAACTAACTATTAGCATTCCAGTTATCAAACGTTAACGAACCGTAAGGCTATCACGTAAGGAGACAGAGGATTGGGTGGGATATTTGACCGGTTTGTTAGTCTTAAATACCCATGTACACCCAAGAGCCTTTTCTTGTATATAAAAAATTATCCATCTTTGATTTTGAACCAATCAGAAAGCAGCTTTCATCAAGAGATCATTTGTAAAATAAAAGAAACGATCGCAAAGCTTCTTGGATAGTACATGGGCTTTCAACATACATATTACGCAATGTCTGTCACACACGCATGATAACAAACATATCACGCTACTATGAATTCGACCTCATCAGTTATGACCTCAGTAAATATTCATATCATGAATTTGCAATTGAATTATATTTCTTATAATAAAATGGTAGTAAATTTCGGTTATCAAATGAGAATCATTGCCTTATGAGAGATTATTCATGTTAAACTGTACGTAAAAAGTATATACCACGATCACTAATGTCACTAAAATACACTAAAAAGCTGTTTACATCTAACTGCATGATTTCTGGACGGCTCAAATTTTCAATATCAATTATCCCTGGAAAAGGCGCTGATCCCTGATCTACAACCCTGAATTGTTATCGGCACAATATTGCAATTGTATGCCATAAATCCTCTATCATTTGACTCCAACAAGCCCAACAATAATATACTTATTCATTGGAGTCATTGCATGGACTGTGCAGAGAATCATTAACTTCATACAATTCAAGATTTGAATAATATTCAACCCAAATTTTACTAACAAATATTACCTTCTTTTCTTTGCATCATCTCTGCACGAAATTAAACAGACTTCCAGASCAGTTTTCATACATTATAGCGTTTAACAACGTAGAAAATATATAAAATCCTCAGCGTTTTTGTCGGTCAGTTCTTGTTAATCAGTTTCGGGGAAATCAACACCAAAACGAGTCTAACAGGAAGTCCCAAAATAGCATATTACAAAATATAAAAGGAGTATAATAAAAACTTATAAAAATGACGCGCATTTGTGTCAAAATACTCATTCCCAAATCTCTATATATTTATTCAGACGAAAGGCCTTATGGTGCCTCTCGTCACTATGTCATCGTGTTGAGTGATCGAACCGTAACCATCTACTTGTAGCAGGCGTTCCTTGCTAATCCTTGATATTTTGATAAGTTGAAAAGAAAAAAATCTCTAGAAAAACAAACAAAGTAGCAACAGAAAAGAAAAAGAGTGAAAAAAAAAGAAAAGAGAAAAAACAAACGACAACAAAAATAATAAATAGATAAACAAGCAAAAAAGAGAAATTCCAGCAGCAGGGCTCGAACTCAGAACTTGAACTTTAGGAGAAGATGCACCCCCCGGACATACATAAGAAATAATGAAAATAAAAAACTAAAAAGATGGGACGATTCCCCCGAGACATTCTATGAAGCTGAGGCGGCGAATCGGCTTACGTTACGGTTAGAGATTTCGGCCCTTCCACGCTATCCCGAGTGAACATAAAACTTAGTCTTAACCAAAAGGCCAGGGAGTGAGGGGGTAGCCGCCCACTAGAGCATACCTTTAGCTACCCTCTTAGACCATCGTACTATGAAGACACTTATAGATATCTAATATCTAATTGGGGTAGTCTATTCGGTGAAGTTCTATGTTAATATATGACGTCACTCAATTCCTTAGGGTGCAGCAAGCCAATCAGAGCTCAGCTCAGGAATTAGCAAAGATACGGGGTTTGCATAATCATTCTTCAGTGGATTTATTATTTGAGGGGGGTGGTTTGCGGGCGAATACCGATGTACTCCTTTCGTTGTAATGTGACGGCTTTCACGGAGCTGTTCAATTGTCGTTATTGTTTTCCAAATCATCACAGGCAAAGGTGTACAGTTCTTATATCCGAAAAACATCACCGTTCAAAAGGAGTTTTCATGCTTTCAGAGTGACTATGGCAGTGTGACAGGTCCGTGTTGTCGTTAAGAGACTCTCAAGAACTTCTAAGGAAGCTCAAGGAAAGTAATTCAATTTAGAATTGCCATTTTGTAACGCATTAAACTCGAAGATCCATAAATCTCTTAATGACCTGAGTCACATGCAATCTTCGACTGCCTTTTTTTTATTTAAGAAAATAAATAGAAGGATGGTAGCTGTTCAGCGCATTCAAATCCATTGYTTATGCGCCTGCTGCAAGTTCTTACAGCGGCATCCCATACATGTCAACATGGCGGCGCACATGGAGAATTTTCTGMAAAAATAACACAACGTTTTCCGTCTTCATATMAAGGTAAACATTACATTGAATKRCGTTAAATGTCTKCTGTAYAAGCTACTATTATTTTATCAATATYTGGCCCGTTTTGTTGTATTTTAAGAWAGCAAAAATTGTTTAAGCTTAATTCCAGTGACTCGCGAAACGAGCTCTTGCTTCGATCGTTTTGTATAAAGTCTGTGACTTTTTTGCGAGAGAAAAATGAGATTCTAGTTGTTTTATCTTGTTTATTAATAATTYTATGAGCACTCTGAAAAGAGACTTTGATACCGACAAACTTCTTACGTCTGGAAAATTCACACAGGGAGCCCGCTCATTTAGGTCCTTGTTGTGAGCGAACATTTTCAATTTTTGCAATAGAAAATGCATTGTGTGTTAGATTTATGAATGGGGATGCTTTTGCTGGTGGGGGTTTAAATATTAAATAATGTTGAAAACTCATGAGCAAATCATATTGCTCTAATTTTAACTGACCAGTCATGGTTGCAACATTTTTTCTGTATGCGAAAGCTAATGGAAGTGATCGATAGATTCAATATTGTGCCATCAGAGATTGTTATACCCTTTCAGCCTTAACTGTCTCAAAGTAAACTCTTAAATTCCAACCTCTGGTACCAAGGGTACCATGATAGAAAGTGTCCTTCACATCTGTTAATTTCTGGGCCTAATACTAAACCTTGTTACAATTTTTAAAAATAACACAACATTTTTAAATTTAAAAGACATGTTTCSACTGGTGGTTTTACTCACATTTGCAATGCTTAATTTTCTTAAGCAGTATGGTGAATGTATAAAGAATTTTTGATATATAACACACCCTCTGATTGGCTGACGACTGTGTTTATATCAGTGGACAGCAGGACATGGCTTAAAATTACATGGGGTCTCATGGATCATAGAAACATGTAGTACCTTGCTCCTGTTTTTAATCTAATTCATCATTTGAACTTGTATAATTTGTACTATTATTCTGATATATAAAACATTCAACCTACATCCAGCTTAAGCTCACTGTAATTATAATAACATTCTTTTGAAGTAATGTAATTACTTTTAACATGATTTTAAAACTTTTTTATAAGTTAAAGGAATAGCACAGAAAAAGAGAATAATTCTTATGCTATAAAATGAATTTATTTATTTTGTATTACTTTTTTTCCTTTTTATGTATTTTTTGGGGAGTGTTTTTTTTGTACATTAAAATGTACAACTATTCAAATTAGCTTTTCGCGTTACATGTATTTTACATGTTATGGACATATCAAGGGGGGTGGGGTGATTAGGGTGGCTAGCAACACCCCATTTTTAAGATTAAAAAACATAGAGAAATAGAAACTATGATATAGATCAATGAAGAAAGAATCTGAATGGGGCTCCTTCTGAAAAACAACTAAAGAAGCATCCAACTGAAAGAAATTTCATTTTTTGTAGCTTTAGATCTATCCATTTCATAGTTGTTGTTTTTTTACTTTACTTTGTAATACTGTGGATCAACCACTGTTTATATATCTTTTGAAAAAAAACGTCAAAATCACTGCATGTCTTATCCTCTGAGCCAACTATTTTTAGATGCTCCATATTTGACCACCCCTCCCCTGTAAAGTTTTGATCGTTATTTCAAATATTTCTGTCTGATAATTTTAAAGCTTGAATCCCTTGCCTTGGTTGCATACATTCAATCGAATACAATTCTTTTAGCTGTTGTTGTAATTTTAAACAATTTCCTTACGTAGTTTAAATCAAGTTTCATTGATATTTTTTCCCAACAATCAAAAGTTAGAAAAAAAKATTTTCGCCTACAACAACCTTAGAAATGTATCTAAAGGTTCTAAAAAAGTATACTGATGAAAACGTCTGTCGTTGTGTGGAAACCATTTTAGTGTTTGATTGACTGACATCCCCTTAAGATATCGATACAGATGTCACCAGTTCGTTTAATTTAAACCCTCAGTTTTCACTGTTGAACAATACCTTCTTCAGGRATTGGTTTTCTAGTTACAAACGTTACCATTGATCTATTTGGATTGGCGAAAAGAATCATTGATCGTTCCATTGAAATCGGATCAAAAGCGAAGACCATGTTTTGTCATGTTTGATTAGTGCTTCTAGAATTGATTGATTGTTCTACAATGCCTCTTATCGAACACATATGTTGAGCTGTTTTGTGTTCGTCTTAATTACGACACGTGTGTGAGAATGCCTTTTACAGATTTGCGATTGTGCCAGCGTGTATCTTAATCAGTTTTCTTAAAAATAACACGATTTTTGGATTACTTAGTAAATAATCGCAAACACAGTTAAAATACACACTTTTGAAATGCAAAATACTTGATTCCGCCTCGCTAAAGATCAATGCTCAATTTGTAAAATGGTGGGAACCTTTGCGAGTGTTTTATTTTCATATTCGAATTCACCTTAACGCTAAAACTAATTTCATAGCTAAACGGATACATGCTCGTCTTAATTCGCAATGATTCATTCTGGAACACATGTTCTATGCTCAAACTGTTATTAAACAGTTCTAAAAAAACGTTTTCGTTGATTATTGCAGACACTCTGAATCTGATTGCAGTCCGGTGGGCTGCTTTTTCGGAGTTGTTCTTGCCGATCTACGACTGTAATTTGCATTGCTGTGCGATATGTTGCGTTTATTACATTTTTGTACGTATTTCGCCTGTTTTATTTCCCCTATTTTTATCGATAACCTCTTTCGCCTTTTTTAAAGAAAACGACCCTTTTATTTTGGTGCTTTGCTTTATTGTTTCATTTAGTTCTTATTATAGCAAAGCTAAATATTATCTCAGATGTATAACTTTGATTTACTACCTATACACCTAACCACATTACCGGAACTTYGTATAGGGGCGTAGCGTAATAACCTCCAAAACTCTGCAAAATGGAGTATTTTACAGATATATTTACAAAATACATGAGCGCGTACTTTTCAATATTTGCAATAATTCAAAATCGATTTATGAATTGTGAATACGAAAATTCGGGGAAAGAAAATTCCGCAAACTTTACGCGTAAAGAGGTACGTAGATATTTACRTTCTCCGGCTTCACGTCCTTTTGGAGTTAAAGTAAKACAAGTCACGTGATCTGCACCTGTATTTAACTTGCTAACCAAGTCTCCATTTTTTCATTCTTTCCCTTCCTTTCGTTCATCCATCCTCTCATTTATCCAATCTTCTTAATGTCTCACTAAACGAAGTGWTTCGAAGAGGGTATTAAAACCAACGATAACGAGCAACTGAAATGTATTAATAGACGTTTCGGACATGGTCCTTTGCTAAACTAAGTCAGACCATTTCTAGCGCAATTTTGCGGAGTCGCGCAGTGATTTTAAAGATATTTTGTCGCAAATTTGGAAAAACGCAACCAGTTTTTGGTAGTAACGTACTTATTTCAGCACCCGTTTCCGCACTCCTGTTCTTGTTCTTGTTCTTCTTGTTCTTCTTGTTCTTCTTGTTCTTCTTGTTCTTCTTGTTCTTCTTGTTCTTCTTGTTCTTCTTGTTCTTCTTGTTCTTGCTTGGTCAGGTCTTGTTCTTATTCGTCTTCGTTTTCGTCTTCGTCTTCGTCTTCGTCTTCGTCTTCTGTCTTCGTCTTCTTCTCATTCTCCTTCTCCTTCTTCCTCCCTCCTCCTAA